CTGCTGCCCAGCTATTCTGTAATTCTGTATACAGCAAGCAACATTTAGAATGTCTCCTAAAAAGCATTTCTGCAATGAATATCTTAAAATAATGTCTTAATTACAATCACATTTCTTTTGCAACCCTTAACTATAACACCAGTTAAGAAATGATCTTATCCTAATTAAAATAAAAAGTAGATTCTACTATATCATCAGCTTCAAGCTTGCTTTAAGTAAATTGGCAAACCAGATATTGGAAGGGGAATTTGTTCCCTAGAAGAAGACAGAGTTTTAAATCCAATAAAAACAGTTGAAAGAAAGGCCAAAAACTTCGTGTTGCTTCTCTTTAGCCAGTTAACCTTACTGTTGCACTACTCAGATTTATTTCAATTCAGAACAGATCCTATATGCTAACAGCAAACAAAAGAACTGATATACTCTGCTATGTTCCCTCAAACGTCCCTTAATCCACAATCCAACACAAGTACCAAATACCACATCTAAAAGACGCTTTGCACTATTATCTAAAGTAGTACTTCTATTTGTATATTTTTGTAATACTTGGGCGGCTAACTTGTTTGTAAAGGAAGGTAGTTTATAACTCAAAGTTGAGATTTATGCATTTAAGATTTTTAAGCCATTTTGGAGAAAAAATGGATAATGTAGCTCGAAATAGCTGTTATTTAATATTTTGAAGAACAAGAGAAAAAAAACACAGAAGGCAAGAATTACTAAAAATACTGGAAAATGCAATACTCGAGGGCTCTTCTGGCCTGAGTTTCTGCAGTAAATTCAGAAATCACCATTATCTTCACAACTTTACACATACTCAAATGAAGAGGAACATAATGCATGCCAAAGTCTTTTCAGAAGGTAAATGGAACATGATTCAAAGGAGAAAGCCTACTATTTTTTTCCTTGAAAAGCTACAAGTATTAAGTTAAGTATTTTCGAACATTTGAAAATGAATACAGTGTATCAGAGTTCTAATTTGAATGATGTGATATGACAGTACACCGAGTCTTTGTTTTCACAAATATATTATCCAGCAAAAAGACGACCAGATGCCTCTCTTGGAAAAGTAGGCACAACTAAGGTCTATATTCTGGAAGGGGTGGAACACAGGTAAAAATCATAACAAGACTTATGTATGTGTGGTATATGCATAAATACACGCACTCCTCTTCCGGTGAGTTGTTCAATGTATAAAGAACTCAGTTCTCAAATCTTCATAAACGTGTAGCTCTTATTTGCTTTCAGAAGAATCCTTTCTCATATAAAATGCATAGCTCTGCCCATGTCCATGCATGACACCAGTGAAACCAGCCACGTGCTTAAAACTGAACACAAGCTAATTTGCTGGATAGGGATAAGCGTGCTCAGCATCTTATCAAATTTAATTTTTAATAGGTAGTGTGGGCAAGGCTCCTCAGTCTAAATGTAAGTAAGTGTAAGCCATCTGGCATCAGCTGAAAGCTTTAGCTGAATCTAATTTCTTTTTTTTTTCTATTCAAAACAGTATTACTCTGCAATTTTTCAACCTATGCATCCAGTCTTATATACATACACACACACACACACACACACACACACACACACACAGCCATATATGCACACAACACACACTCCTCTCACAATACCATGCAAACAAGAATATGAAAGGCTATTTTCATGTTTGACTTTGATTCAATAGAGTCATCAAAAAAAAATCAGTCCCATATCGTTAGGAATCCCTTCACTTGATGCCCTCATTTTTGGTGGTTATTTTATTTGTGGTTTAATCAAATACACCATAGGTTTAGATGTATCACCAACCCAACAATAAATTATTTTTGCAACGAAGATTTGGAAACATATTGCAAATTTTCATTCTTTGAGTTAAGTTTGGTTTTGGTGCCAGACTGATCTGAGGTTAAGTTTGGCTTCAGAATGTTAGTTGCTTAAACATAACAAATGTGTAGCTTTTTCTTAGTGGACTGAAGTGTTTCTCATGGCATTATTAATGTGGTTATGTGCGAACATAGTGTATGTGTAAGTCAACGCATAAAAGAAATACTTTTTTTCCCAACATCGGTAAGCGATGTATTCTTAGTATTTCCAGAATAATTTAAAGCAAGAGAAGAAAAGGGAAAACTAGTGATGTGAAGTGGTATCAGTGAAATGGAAACATACTTCTACTCCACTACACAGCCATCCAGACATGAAAAATTCTTATTCAACCGTTTCAGTGTTTTGCCCCTGTACCTGTAGATATATAGTAATATAAAGCATGATTTTCCATAGTAAACATAATTCTTTCCGTATAAAAACTGTATATATAAAGTATAATGTCAAATGACATTTCCAGCTATAAAATAGCAAAACAGTTAGTTATACAAAAATACCCAAAAATTAATTAAGCGTAGAAAGCCAAAGATGAGCAGGCATGAGTAAAACCCATTCTTCTACAGGCCTGCATTAAAATCAGTCTTATTTTCCAGTACGCTGAAGAAACATTATGCAAATCAGGACACTTCTATTTTTGAACAGCTACCACTAGTCTATTTCTCCTTTGAGAAATACAAAGATGTGACATCATCACATAACACACAATTAAGAATTACTTCATTATCAAATGTTAAGCATCTTTGGAAAAATGAAAACATGTGGTAGTTGCATTTGTAGGAATAATGAAAAAAGAATAAGGTAATGAAATGTCAATGGAAAATTCCATCAGTATTCTATAACAATGCTTCAAATAGCAAGCCCTTTAAGTGAAATTTACTTCCATATCTCTGCACCAAGACCAATTACTTTGACTTTGCATTTGCAGTTTTGCAGGAACACAATGTATTCTTTAATTGGTTTAGACTTTAGTTCAAACTTCAAAGTAACAAAAGCATTTCTTCTGTAACATATTTGTAACAATTTGGGCTTTCTGAATCCATAACATCCAAAAAAAAGTTCTTTCTGCTGTGTGGATCCAATTTCTCCTCTAATCTAACATATACATTTTAAAGAGCATCTGTAAGATCCCTTTCCGTATCATAAATGGGCAGAAGATGTTTCTTTCTTGGTAGATTCCACACCTAGTGCTAATCCCTTGTAATACTAGAGCTCATCTTCTGTCATCACAATATTTAGACCATTTCTTACGAGTTGTGACAACCAGAAACATTAATCATTCAGTTTACAGCCACAGAGTTCTACTTACTTTTATTTGGCTTTTCAGAGATTCATGAAGGAGAAAACCAACTTGCACCACATCTTCCTTCACATCAGTAATAACACAAATTTGTTGTGATAGGTTGTCTGTGATCAAGGAGGAAAAAAAAAAAAGAATATTCCACGCAAAGAATACATCAAACAAAATTACTAATCTGCTGAGCTTTACCTTCAATTCTTACACTGCCATCTCTTGACAGTACCTTTTCAATAGCTGTAAATTTAATATTTAAGAAGATTTATTTCAAGGAAAGTTGACACAATTAGTATAGACTACAACTCAAAAATTTACGTTATACTTGATATAATTATATACAATGTGAAAAACTTACTTAAACAACGGAGACCTATGAAAAGGTATTTGTTCAGGTCCACGTTACTGATATTAGATGACAACCAAGAAAGTAATTTCTTGAAATATTCATATTGCTTATCACTTCAATGGGTCAACTAAACGCAAAATCAATAATACTGGGAAAAGCTGCTCATACAGAGTAAGCAAAAATAAGCAGAAGACACTGGATAACATAAATCCTCCTCCCCATGATATATACCACATAATAGCAGCTAAAACTGGACTGAACTTAAGGAAACAGGAGATCTAATTGTTCATTTCAGTATCAGACAGTGTTCAGAGTCAGGGACAAAGGTTTTGCAACTGGAAACTTATCAGAACTCATAGAGTGCTGTAGGAAAAAATATATATTCTTTTGTGGATAACAAAAGCAATATTTTTAAATTAATGCATGGTCTGCTCTATAAAACAAATATTTCAAAGAATTGTATTTTCTCCTGGTATTTACTACAGTTTAAAGATTCAGTGAGCTTTTTCCTTTCTTTAGGCAAATAGATGAAAAAAATCCAAATCTGGAATTTTTACTTCAAGCTCAGGATTTTATCCTTTAGATGTTAAATTAGTATGCATATTGAAACATAAGATTTGCACTCTCTTTAGGGTAGCTATTCTGCAAGCAGCTAAAAATTTCAAAAAACATGAAGTCTAATTACATTTAAAGTAGACTTCAATGAGGCTTCAGAGACAAAAATTCACAGAACAACAACACAACATAAATTGGTATTGAAAGATGTAAAAGAAATTATAAAAAAATACAGCCTGACTACTCAAACAAGTCTGAATACAAAGATATACATTGGTTGCACATGGTAAGGTTTTCTATAATTATATACCACATGGTAAGTTAAATAATCTTAAATAGGTCTAACTGAAGTAAACATCTCACTTTTTATGATAAACTCAAAGACTTCTTTATAAAAATAGACATACAGACCTAAAAACTAATTTAAAAGCTGTTACAGAGTTAACATTATTGGAAGATGACTTGTGATTTCTAAGTAATTTTTGTGATCAGAAAAAGTCAATTAATCACTGAGGATCCCAAAAGATAATTAGAATGATTCTACGAATCATGGACATTTATGATGTCCAAAATTGTAATTATTATTATGTGATAATGGAAAGCCTGGTAGCAACTTCCTTTGTATTAAGTTAGGAAGAAGAGGGGAAAGAAAGAGAGAGAACAATAAACATCTGCTTATAAACCATCACAACCAGATGAAAGTGAGAATGACAACAAATGCATGGCCAGCTCTTACAGGAATGCAAATCACAGGATACCACAGCTGCGGAAGAAATTATATTCCAATAGATTTGTTGAGAAAAAAATTATATTGAACATGCATCAAAGTTGATCAATACTTAATACAGAGTAACTTTATAGTCTAAAAAAATGGGTCAGTGGGAAACCACACTGAATTAGTTTCTCTTCTTATCAGTATATAGAAACTGGTGGATAGTTTGAAAACAGAGAGCAAGAGCCACTTGAATTTAGTACTGTACAAGGAATGTAGATAAATTGCAGATACGAGAGAGATGTACATAATAAAACAGAATGGCATATCAGATTTCAAGAACTCAGACTCTGTGGAACTAACTAATTTAATGAAGAAGGTTAGATTGGAGCTATTACAAAAATCCACATGTGGAAGGCGGCTGTGGAATCCAAAAAGGCACCATAACTTTTACTTAGTTCTTTTTAAAAAAAACTCCATAAACAACCAGCAGCAACAAATGTAGCCTCACAAGAGGCTGCTCAAAGGCTTCAACTACAAAAATCAGTCTCATTACTCTCTACGCCTACCTTAAATTTCTAGCTTTCTGCCATCTAAATGAGAAAGGACAGAAGACTACAGAAAAGGTGATCAAGACGTGTAGGTTAGATTTAACAAAGAAGAAAGGAAAGCAAGATGAAGTGAGAAAATATATTTTTAAATTGGAGGAGGAATATAGTGTGGGAGGGGGGAAAGCCTAATAAAAGTATGAAAAAATGAAAGTAATGATAATACCTACATTGAAAAGATACTGCATTCTTTGAAATGATCAAGAAAAATGTACAAAGGAAGTTTGGAAATCTTTTTTTTTTTTTTTAATAAAACCACTATAGCAAAGCATCCGCTCTGTTCTAATTCAGGTTTAAAACTCCCTTTCAATTTAAAGATCAACTTTTCCAAGTGGCCATAAAATCTGTAGGTTAATTTAGATGATCTGCACACTGGCTGCATTGTTGGAGGGAATGCAGGGCAGACCCTCTCTAAGATTGCCTGTGTCCCAGCTCTGATAAGCTGATCCAGTTACTATTCAGCATAATTAAATTGAATTCAATGAATGCAGTTGGAATGCTTGTTAATAACTCCCACTAGTTTAATGAATTCTGTCGACTGAAAGTGGAGGCAACTGTGTGCCACACTTCATTCCCAGTTTTCAGAAGTTTGTGTTTAGGTGAATCAGATGGGCATTCTGGAAAGCCATAAGATGTCATGGATTTTTCACGGGATCATTTAGGCTGGAGGAAACCTCAGGTGGTCTCTAGTCTAACACCCTTCTTAAAGCAGGGTCAGCTATGAGGTCAGATCAAGTTGCTCAGCCCTTTATCCAGCTGGTTCTTGAAAATCTTTGAGGATGGAGACTGCACAACGTCTCCAGGTAACCTCTTCTATTGCTTGACTGTTCTTATGATGAAAGAGTTTTTCCTTATATTGAGTTGGAACTTCACTTGTTCCAATTTTTGTCTTTTGGAGATAAAAAAAAAAAACAACTGGTCTTTTTTGACAAGAAATGTCCTCCTCCCATGCACCACTGTGAAAAGCCTGGCTCTGTCTCATCTGCAACCTCTCATAGGTATGATGGCTATAAGGACGTTATTAGCTCCTATGGCTGCTATTAGCTTCCTAAGTCTTTTCTTCCCCAGATTGAACAAATCCAGCTTCCCAGCCCCTCCTCATGGGACATGTACTTCAGCCCCTAACCGTCTTGGTGACCCTCTGATGAACACACTACAATTTATCCATGTCTTTCTTGTCTTGGGGGACCCAAAACCTGATGCAATATTCTAGATGCACTCTAAGAGTGCTGATTGGGGGATACAATCACTTCTCTCGATCTCCTAGCTATGCTCCCATTAATGCAAGCCAGGATGCTGTTGGCTTTCTCTAATACCAGGGCACGCTGTTAGCTCAGGTTCAACTCGCTGTCTACCAAGACCTCCTGATCCTTTTCAGCAGAGCTGCTCACCACCCAGTCAGCCCCCAGCCTGTACTGTTGCAAGGGTTATTCCTTTTCAGTGCAGGACTTTGCATTGTCCATGCTGAATTTCATAAGGTTCCTGTCAGCCCATTTCTCCAGCCTGTCTAGGTCCCTGTAAATAGCTGCCTTGTCTTTGAACATATTGACTGGTCTTCTCAGAATGGTGCTATCCACCAGCTTGGTGACAATATACTCCATCACCTCCTTTAGGTCACTCATACAGATGTTAGACAGAAGAGGTCCCAGTATAAACCCCTGAACTACTCCAGTTGTTACTCACCTCCAGGTAGAATACAACTCATTAACCAGTACCCTTTGAACCCAACCATCCAACCATTTTTTTTACTCATCAAGTTGTCCAAAATGTGATCACAGAATCACAGAATGGTTGAGGTTGGAAGAGACCTTTAAAGATTATCCAATCCAAGCCCCCTGCTCAAGCATGGTCACCTAAAGCACGTTGCCCAGGACTATGTCCAGATAGCTTTCAAATACCTCAGAAGATGAAGTCTCCACAACCTCTCTGGGTAACCTGTTCCAGTGCTCAGTCACCCTCACAGTAAAAAAAAAAGTGTTTTCCTTATGTTCAGACAGAACTTCCTGTGTTTAAGTCTGTGCCTGTTGCCTTTTGTCCTATCACTGGGCACCACCGAAGAGAGTCTGCTCCCATTCTCTTTACAACCTCCCTTCAGATATTAAAATGCATTGATAAGATCCCCCTGTGCCTTCTCTTCTTGAGGGTGAAGAGTTCCAGCCTTCTCAGCCTTTCCTCATATGACAGGATTAATCATCTTAGTAGCCCTTGACTGGACTTAAGTCCAGTAGCTCCTAACCTGGATACAAGCATATTGTGGGAGACAGTGTCAAAAGTTTTGCTTGAATCTCAACAAGTGGGATGGAATTTCTGGAAATTTTTATGTGAAACAAGTTTCTTTGAATAATATACCAATTCCATATAAAGGAAATACTGAACATGCTAGCTATACCTTTGATGATGCCTATTCCTCCTCTGCCTTATTGCCTCTGTTCTACTCTTCTTTCCTCTTTGTCTGACCCATCCTTTGGTTTATTACTATTATATTACCTGCCACAGTCTCTCTCTTGCTTTGGCTTCCCCTTCCTCTATTTATTTTAAACTTCTTATTTTCCTGGAAACCTCCTCTTTCCAACACCTGTCTCCCATTTACTTTCGACTTCTTAGCTATGCCTGATTATGGAGAAACCTCCCAACACTGCACCACATTTAATGTACTTAGAGCATATTTTCCCATAAAATTAAAAATAGCTAAAAGCCCTTTACACTGCCAAATCGTGTGAGGCTAAACATTGGATTTCTCCATCAGAAAAGCAGTAGAAATGTTCTTCATTAGATAAATCTGATAAGATTTCAGAACTGGTTCCATTAAACCTCTCTCTCTCTCTCCCTCTCCCGTTGCCTGATGTATCAGGCAACAAAGCAAAGATTTTCTAGTGGGATTCTTCCTTC